CACTGGAATCATTTTAACAGCTGTCGGACGAGTGGCTTAGAAATTACGGCAGTCTGAAGTTGGTTGCAGTCTTTTCATCTCACTCTGTAGCATGCTTTTTATTCTGGATTTTGTTCAAGAGCTTTTTGATTTTGTTTAAAGAATAATCGAATTTTTTTAAGAATTTTTAAAAGACACTGACTTTGATTTTTTGTGGAATTTTGTGAAGGACTCTGACATGGATTTCCAAGGGAAGAGAGAAATTTTTAAAGATTTTTTTGCTGGGCCCTATTTGCGAATTTTCTAAAGAATGTTTGAACGGAATTTTTCGGAGTTCCTATCTGTGGCTTATGTCGTCGATCTAAGCGTCGTTTTTTTTAAAGAATTTATCCAAGGGATAAGCGAGGGTCTTAAACGAGGATTTTTTTGGTCTTTTTTTCGATTTTTTTTTGCCTGAAGCAGACCTCCAAATAGTCTTCAATCCCAAGAATATTTTCAGGACATTTTCTTTATCTCGCCTTTGATACTTTCTTGTTAGAGTTCCAGTTCTTATTTCCTACAATAGTACATTACAATTATTTTATTAACAATTACTTAACAATTACTCTCCTAAAAATATGCCATGGTTTTGTTAATAAAATAATTGTAATGTACTATTGTTGAAAATGAGAACTGGAACTCTAACAAAAAGTATATGAGAAAGGTTTTCAAAGGAATCCAAATTCCTTTATCCTTTCAAGCATTTGCAATTGTCCAATTAGCTGGAAAACACAAACTCATATTGAGTTTCAAAAGAATTCTAAGTTCTATTACATTCTTGTCACACACACACGCTCCTAAAAGTATGCAGAAGCAAATATGCAAATAACAAAGAGCACCAAATGCGTCACAAATAACATTTGTTTCCTTTACCTAAATTTCCGTTGTTTTTTTTTTTGCTATCTTGTCATACATTTTTTCATATGTATTTCGTTTCAAAAAGGATACAATCAAAACATATCCTTTGGCTATAAACACTAAAGCTCAACACCTAAACCTTTTCCAACATGAGGGGGTGGTCGACCAGGTAGGTAAACTAACACACTAAACAAAAGAACACAGTCAGAAAGGAAAACAAAAAGCAAGAGATGAAAATACGTGTGGTAAACCATAAGAATCCTTTGGGCGTTATGTTTGAGATTGTGATTGTTGTTGTTGTTGCTGTTATGTTAGTGCACATGTAAGTGCATTTGTAGTTTATCACAAGGGATTTAGTTGTCGAGAGCAAATTGCAAGGTGGGGGCAGGGGGGAGAGGGTAGAAAATCATAACATCAACGGAATCAGTTTTCCTTCCGTTTTTATTGCGCCCCCACCCATGTTTTCTTTGGTTTTCTTGTTGTTAGACAATTGTGCTGAGACATTTGTGCTTAAGTGGCCAACAGAAAGAGATTTGAGCGCGGTACCTCCTCGGCATGTGTTTGGGCTAACAAGTCGCGTTTCTATGGTCTTTTGCTTGTTGTCGTGGTCCTAATCCTCATCCTCATCCTGCCTAGTTTGTTAAGTGTTCGGTTCGGTGCGGTTTGTTGCTGTTCGTTTAATAAGTTGACACATGGAAACCAAGTCAAGTTTTGACCCTAAGCCATAAAACATCGTATCATTTATTTGGGTGAATTGTCTTCGCTGAAGAGGGGAAGCGATAATTAGAGGAAGTCTCTAAGAGGCAAGACCAAGTGCGATGGTTCAGCCGAAAAGTATGCTTTAGAAAATATTAAAATCAAAGCTTAAAAGTAAGTATCAATTTTGAAAGCACTATTTGTGGGAAGATTTATCAGGGAAAAATTCGTGGACTTTTTAGTGTCCCATCAGAGCTTTAGGCATAATTTTAAATTTCTAAATGATCCTGATGCGACAATTTTAAAGGATATTTTAAAGAATTTTATAAAACTGATTTTGAAAGACCGGATTTTTAAAGAATTTGAAATTGAAGGATTTTTTAATGAATTTTGTAGGACTTTTTAAAGATTTTTCAAAGGACCCAATGAAGATTTTTTAAAGCATGCATTTTTAAAAACATTTTGAAGGAACCTACCTTAACCAAACGCAGATTTTTAAAAGAATTTGTTGAAAAATTTTTATTTTTTTTTAGGATTTTTTAAAGAATTTTTGCAGAGGTTTTCAAGAATTTTCAAGGGTTTTTGAAGTATCCTAATGTGGAATTTTTTTTAATTCTAAAGGACGCTGGTGGAAAATTGTTCAGGATATTTTAAAGATTTTTTTAAACTGGTTTTGATGGGCCAATCGCTGGTTTTTTTTTTAAGAATTTGTTGAAGGTTTTCTTAGAGGATTTTTTTAGAATTATTCAAAGAATTTTTTTAAGGACTCAACGAAGACTTTTTTAAAGCATGCAATTTTTTCAGAGTAGTTTTAAGAAATCGACTATTTTTTGAAGAAATTTTTGAAGGACCAATAGATGCCGACTTTTTAAAGAATTTTTGAAGGGCACACCGTAGGTTTTTAGAAAGTTTTCAAAGATTTTTTAAAGATTTTTTTCTAGTACCCTAATGTGGGGTTTTGTTTTTATTTTTTCGGGGCCTCCAGCGTAGATTTTAAAAGGAATCTAGCGTAGATTTTTTAAAGATCTTATGCGAGAATTTTGTCCAAGAGCTTTTTGATTATTTTTAAGGGACTCTGACGTTGATTTTTTTTGGAATATTTTAAAGACTCTGAAAAAGATTTTTATGGACCCGTGATTTTTTCCTGGACCCTTACGTGGATTTCTAATGATTTTTGAAAGATTCATTGAAGGACTTTAATGTGGATTTTTTGAAGGACCATTCATGCAGTTTTTGAGATTTTTAAATTTTTTTTAATAATGTTTTGATGAACTATAAAATGTTTTTTTAATGATTTTTTGATATTTGGAGATTTTTTAATTTTTTTAAGGACTCTAACGTTTATTTTTATGGAATATTTAAAGGACTTTGACAAGAATTTTTATGGACCCTAGCATGATTTTTTTTTCGGACCCTTACCTGGATTTCTAATACTTTTTGGAAGATTCTTTGACGGACTCTAATGTGGATTTTTTGAAGGACCCTTCGTGCATTTTTTGAGATTTTTAAATGTTTTTTTTTAATAATGTTTTGATGAACTATAAAGTGTTTTTTAATGATTTTTTGATATTTGGAGATTTTTTTTTATTTTTAAAAAATGTTTTTAAAGGACTCTGACGTTGATTTTTATGGAATATTTAAAGGAATTTGACAAGAAAATTGATTTTTTTTCTGGACTCTTACGTGGATTTCTAATACTTTTTGGAAGATTATTTGAAGGACTCTAATGTGGATTTTTGAAGGACCCTTCATGCATGTTTGGAGATAAAGTGAATTTTTTAAATCAATTATTCTGAAAATCTATCAGCACTTTATGTTTGAATTTAAAAAAAGACGGGTTTGAAGGATCCTAAGGTGGATTTTTAAGGAATTTTTGGAGGACGCTTACTTGTTTATTCTTAGAGATTAAAAAAAATCCATTCTCCAGAAACTAAAAACTCTAATTTGTGGATATAATTTTTCTGAATTCCTATCTATGGCTTAAGTGCGGATTTTTAAAAGAACTTTTCTAAAGATCTGTCAAGACTTTACGTCTGAATTTTTAAAGAACTTTTTGAAGGATCCTAAAGTGGTCGTTTTAAAGAACTTTTTTGAAGACAAGATAGGATCTTGTATATTTTAGAAAGTTTCAGATGATTTTTTTGACATTTTCTTTAAAAATTCATTCTCCAGAAATTAACAGTCCTTTGAAAAAGTTCTTTAAAAATTCGTACATTGAAACACTGATAGTCTATTGGAAAAATGCAATTTCAAAAAAAAAAAAAAAAAAATAGACTCAAGGCACTAAAAGTCCTTCGAAAAAAATCCTTTAAAAAAATCCAAACTTCAGACATTGATAGTCCTTCAAATTATTTCTCTAAAAAATCCCCTTAAAATCATAGAAGATCCTTCGCAAAACAACGCTGATAGTACTTTAAAAATTTTATTATTTTTTAATTTAAGTTTCAGACACTGATTATCTTTTTTTCTTAATTTATGCCCAAGGCACTCTTGAAAATTATATTGAAAAATTCATGCTCCAGACAATAATTGTCCTTCGAAAAAATCTACACATCCACCCACAGAGAGTCCTTACAAAATTCTTATAAAAATTCACGTTACAAACACTGGTATTTTTTGGAATAAATTCTTTAAAAATCTATGTCAGATGCACTGAACTCCTTCGAAATAATTTATAAAAAATTCACGTTTAAAGCACTAATAGCCCTTCTAAAGCAATATTTGAAATTTCCATGTTTAAAGAACTCAGTTCTTAAAAATCTTAAAATCGTAAATTCAAGGAACTGAAAAAAAATTCATAAATCTTAAAATCGTAAATTCAAGGCACTGAAAAAAATCAACGTTCTGATAATCTTTAGAACAAAACTCCTAAAAAAATCTCGTTTATGTACTAATAGTCCTTCGATAATATCCAAGATCAGTCAGTCATTGAAAAAAAAAAAATCTTAAAAAAACCCCAGACTCAATACTCAGATAATCCCGCGAATAATTCACGTTGATAGTCTCTAGATTTTTTTTTAAAGACCTTAAGTCACTGATAGTTCTGATAAAACTCCACGCTCTAGGCACTAATAGGTCTTAGACAAATGATTAAAAAAAAAACCCACCTCTAAGGCACTCACAGTCCTTTGTTTTGTAATAACATTTTTAGATCTTAACTACGGTTTTCAAAGGAATCTCAGAATTAATATTTTTTGAGAAAAAAATTCAAATGATTTTTTTGGCATACTTTTTGGGAGAAATCGTATGATTTCTGCATTCGATGTTATTTTTATTAAATTGACTTAAATTTACGTTTAAATAATTTTCTTAGAACTTCCAATCCCTATTTGAAAATATTTTTCAAATATATTTTAAAACATACTTTTAGGAGAAATCATATGTTTTATCTATATTTTTGTCAGAAATCGCTATTTCAAAGAACTTACCTTTACGTTTTCTTTAATTGTCAACAGGTGTTTATAAAAAGTTAGTTGTTTAATAATCTGCAAGGAAAAAATAAAGAAAAAATATAATTAATATTGTTTTATATGTCTTTATTATTCTCATAAAATATATGCGGCATATGACAAATTCCGAAATTTCCAAAAAAAAAATCAAAACCGGTCTGGCGAAAAAAGCCAGATGGGAAGTGTGCAATTCATAATCTCCCTCAAATGAAATGCCAATGTTTAATTGTTAACAACAAATGTAAATTAATTGTGTGTTCATTGGCAAGTGTTTAAACTAATTTTCAAATAATAATAACAACAACAACAACATCAGTGAAACACAATCGGCCATATCATGCGATTATCAGACACACAATAAGGAAGATACTTTGTTGTGACGCTTGGTTTCCCTTGTTGTTGTTGTTTTTCTTTTTATCTTTGCCTTGCCATTTTTTTAAGGTGCAGCTGTGGAAATTTTTTCTCAAATCCAGAAATGAACCTCAAATCAATACATTTAGTCTGGCATCATAAATTAATTATTTGATGTTGTTTGTCTGTTTATTTGTTTCCTTTCAGTTTTATTGAACACCTTCCAAATGACTTGGCCAAAAAAAGACAAAAAAAATATGGAATCTGCTGTGTCCCATACCAGAGTAATGATGATTTTTCAGGGACAAAAATCGTATCGATGCCATTCTAATTACAGACACCTGGATCTCGTGAACGTAATTGCGTAGTTTGGCCAAAGTAAAAGAATTTTTACATCATTAAAGCAATTAAGTGAAAGATATTTTTAACTTTGGCATTGTAATAAAATATGTCAAGTTTATGACGGCTTAAATTGGATATCGTTGGGATTCTGGATCATCATTAGTGAGGTTGGAAGGGTGGGGGATTAAAAACAGGTTATATTGAAGTATATTTTCATAAAAATTGTTGTGAAACTTTATGTTTTTATAAATGGCGCCCAACGAGGGGTGTGAATACCATTTGGATTCGGGATCATAATAAGTGGGGGAAGGTGGGTTAAAACAGTTTATATTAAAAATAAAATAATCAAAACCAGTAAATAAAGGCTTAAAATGCGGCGGGGCCGACTTTATGTTGCCCTGCGCCACTTTGTACATGTGAATCGATATTTACTAAATTTGCGAAGGCATTTTTGTTTGAACCTATAATCATCAAAATCAATCTTGTTTTAGCTAATATTACACATTTTAGGCCCAATAAACGTTAAATCGGATGTAGATATATATGGGAGTTATATCCTAATCAGAACCGATCTCTGAAAATTTAGCAGGGTTATAATTTGCTGTATATGATATAGCTATATCCTAACCTATCTTCACCGAATTTAATATATTTTTTTGCAGTCAGAATTCGTTCGCATGTGCCAAAAAATCCATTCAATTCGGACTTATATTAATCATTTGATGCTCAATAAACTTGATATCGGGAAAATATTTATACATAACCAAATCTCAACCGATCTTGATATAATTGGGTTAAGCTGTTTCTGAGCTGTATTTGATGTATTTCCCGAATATCATTATTATGGAGTTCATATTACGACCGTGGAGGACAAAATAGCTACAGAGGGTGACATGAAAAAACTGCAACCAAATTCAGACTGCTGTCAGCCACTAAGCCACTCGTCCGACAGCTGTTAAAATTATAACAGTGACAGCTCATTATATTGTTTACAAACGTACTAAAGCATTTTGGTGAGAATTTTCCAGAAAAAAAGTTATTCGTGATACAATTCAGGCGTGATAGTGCAATTTCTTTATATATGGCTGGAAAACCACAAGTGGCTATAGTTAGAGCACTCTAGCATTTAAATGTGAATAAATCATTTGTGTCTCGTACCATCGCTTGTTACTGTGATACCGGTAGCGTAGCCTTTATATGGAGGCTATACGATATCACGGACCTATATGGAAAATTTTCTTTCAGGGGATAAAGAGCTCACAAAGAACTCCTTTAGACAATTTCATTGAAAAATGTGGTTAAAATCATCAAAATACCGAATATCGGAAGGTACAGTTATATGGTGGCTATACGATGTCCTATAGGCAATTCTCTTCCAGGGGGTAAAGTTATCAAATGGACTTCCTTGTGTTTATTTTCAGATAATTTCATTGAAAAATGTGGCTAAAACCATCAAAATGCCGAATATCGGGGATACCGCTGTATGTGGGCTATACGATATCGTAGACCGATATCGAACTTCGAATTTGACCTGGCTGCAGCCAAAAGACTGAAGCCTGAATGGAATGGTATTTGGATTCTATAATATATGTGGAAGAGAGATTCGTGACTTTAAATACAATTGGCGCCCAACGTGGGTCGTGGGAGTTAAGAAAAATACAAGTTTTGTTATAATGATGACTTAAATTGAATGCCATTTAGATTTTGGATCATATTCTGCGGTAAAAGGTGGCTGAAAACAGGCTAAACATAAATTTCATGACAATCAGATTTCAAGGCTTAAAAAGAAATAGCGCCCAACGCAAGGTGTCAAGTTAAGAAAAAATAAATATTTACGATGATGGTTTAAAGTGAATACCATTTGAGTTCAGGATTATATGTGGGGGAAGGGGAGAGATTGATGGTTTAAAAAAATGGAGCTAAGAAAAGTTTAAGTTTTTAAGTTTTGTTATGATGATGACTTATCCATCCTCTTGCCATTTAGATTCTGCACCATTTCGGGTGGAAAAACGTATATTAAACCATGATTCATGGTTTTAAAAATAAATGGCGCCCAACATAAGTCGTGAAATTAAAAAATAAATTATAATGGCCTCTGGTTTATCTGTGGTAGGAAGGTGAGAGATTATTGGTTTGGCGCCCAACGCGAGGTATTAATTTTAAAAATACAAATTATGTTATTATGATGACTTTGATTGGATATAATTCGGGATTATTTTCCGTAAAAAAGTTATGTTAAACCAAGTAATATTAACATCTAATATCAAAGAAACGTGAATCAATTGTTTCAAAAATGGCGCCCAACGTGGTGTGTGAAGTTATGAAAAATACAAGTTTTGTTATGATGATAACTTAAGGAGGATGCCATTTGGATTCTGCACCATCTGGAATGGAAAAGGGTAAATAAAAATGTCGCCCAACATAAGTCGTGAAAAAATGATGATGGTATATATAAGGAATATAATTTGGATTTTGGTTTATCTATGGGAGGATAAAAAAATAAAAAAATGGCGCCCAACGTGAGGTATTAATTTAAAAATACAAATTTTGTTCTTCTTGTTCTTCTTTCTTTATTGCCATTATCCGTAGGAAAAAGGTATGTTAAACAAAGTTGTATTGAAATTTGGTATCATAAAAACTAGATTAAGATGTTTTAAAAAATGGCGTCCAACGTGGAGAATTTTGTTTACAAAATAGTATCAATTATTTGTGCAATAAGAATTGAAATTATCCGTAGAAAAAAGGGATATTAAACAAAGTTGTATTGAAATTTTCATATAATAAAAACTAGATTTAAATGTTTTCAAAAAATGGCGTCCAACGTGGAGAATTTTGTTTACAAAATAGTATCAATTATTTGTGCAATAAGAATTGAAATTATCCGTAGAAAAAAGGGATATTAAACAAAGTTGTATTGAAATTTTCATATAATAAAAACTAGATTTAAATGTTTTCAAAAAATGGCGCCCAACGTGGGGAATTTTGTTTACAAAATAATATCAATTATTTGTGCAATAAGAATTGAAATGAAATTTCAAAATATTTTCACAGACTCTGTTCTATTTTCTCTTTCATTGTTGTTGTTGTTGTTGTCGAAATTGTAGTAAGTCCACATTGCTGTTTTTAATTACACACAAACAGAAAATTCATTCATCACTCATAAAAAAAATAATCTCAAGCCAAAAAAGCACACACACACACTCTCATAAAAGAAGGCACACTTTAATATTCAAATTTATCTAATAATGAAAGAGAGTGAAATCAACAACAACAACAAAAACAAACACAAAACAAACAACAAACAAATATTACTTATCATTTGGCCACAACCGATTAAACTGATTACTTTTTTCCCCCACAAAACTGTTGTTGTATTTGTTTTCAGTTTTCACTTTTTTTGTTTTTGCTTTCAAAGTTTTAAACTCTTAAGTACTTGTTTATTTTGAATTCTGACTCTGCTTGCACAATAGATAACAGAGTCCAGAGGTAGTCCGAACGAAGAAAAAGTACAACAACAAAATTGTGCTTCGGGGAAAAATTTGCATTTTTTTGCAGCAACATAACAAAATTTACGATTCGATGAAAGGTTTTAAGATTAGCTAAGAACCTCTTAGTTATTTTGTGTGTTTTGGAGATATGAAAATATTATTGAGTGCAATCAAACCTGTTGAGTGATAAGGTGGAATTTTTTCCAAAGTGTAATAAAAATGAAAGAATTTATTTTTTTTTTGGAAATATTTTCAAAATTCGAATGAGAAGGTGATTGAGGAACAACAAAAAGTGGGTATATTATTTGAAAGGAATTTTCAAGGGGTTTTAGGGATTTTAGAGGATAATTATGGCTAAAACATGAATCTCACACAATATTGTTTCTGAGATTTTTTTTTTAAATTCACACTTAAGCCTATTTGAATATTGAATATTGAAATGTGTGAAGTTTAAAGAGAAGCGTTTGTTTATTTTCCATTTTTTGAAAGATATATAATAACTCACAATTTTGACTCATTGTGTGATGTTTTTTTTGCATTCTATTCGATTTTATTTCATGTAAAAAAAAAAATGGCGCCCAACCTAAAGTTATGAAAAAGTATAAATTTATGACGATGGCTTTAATTTTGAATTTCCAATCATCTTTGGGGGAAGCAGAGAGATTCTTGGGTAAAAATAAGTTAAAAAGTATCAGTACCTTCAGCCAATGTTCGATGATTTAAATATATTTTGACTTATTTTATGGTTATTTAAATTGTTGACCCTCTATGGAGTGGTTTCCGAAGGAATGGGCCAATATTGTACATTTCGTTTCGGATCTAAATAAATATGATATAAACATTGCGACTTGAACT